TCTTTACCTCGCAATAAGCACACATTGATTTTAGTGCCTAATTCTCCTTTTTGCTGGGCCATGAACTCCACAATGCCAATGAAACAGCCCATGGTACAGAGAGGCTTAATTAAGAAGGAAATGTTTATATTCAGGACTCATAATAAAACAAACAGAAATAAGCACCCTACTTAATTTTTTCTCCGAAAAGACATAGTTCACTATAAAATGATGGTCCAATCAAAATACCTTCTTAATCACAAGTGTTTCTTCCTGTGAATACATTATATCCAGTGAAACTTGGGATATGTACTCCAGCACTATACAGGCTGCTGAGTTTCCACTTTCTTCTCCATAGCTTTCTATAAAACCCCTATGAAGTTCTATCTTAGGGTGACCATGGCCTGCAGTAACTTCTTAAAAATTCCTCCTAAATATAGAACACTTCAGTGGTTGGAGATATGGCTCAGAAGTTAAGAGAGCTCGCTGCTCTTGTTGAGTACCTGTTTGGTTCCTAGCACCGACATACTGTGACTCCAAACCACATGTAACTCTAGTTCCAGGGATTCTTATGCCCTCTTCTGGTCTCAGTGAGCACCTATACTCATCTCATGTGCACACACACACAGATACATTCATATATGTAATTAAACATAAAAAAGAAAAGTTAGAATACTTCAAAAAATTTGTTTTGAGCAGAGATGTTTCAGATTTAACAGAACAAGCACTAAATGAATCATTGAGAGTTCTTTCTTCTCCACAGTGAGTCTTCCGTATCTTTCTAGGAATGTCATACACTTTTTCTGTATGATAGACAGAAATTTTGCTGCCTGCAGTGCTTTGACACCATGAAAGCCATTTGCCATGGAAAATCCAGTTTACAAGTTTTGAAGTTGTGGAAATAGGTTGTTAAACAGTTTCATGTTGGGTAGCTAGAGTGCCGTTTGCAGGCAACAAATCTGTTTATGTTATTGAAATAGAAAAGGGTTGGTGAGGCTGATTTTTGGTGAATTATCCCCAAACCATCCAAGTTTCACTGGATATAATGTATTCACAGGAAGAAACACCCATGATTAAGAGTTGGGTTTAATTGGTGATAGCCACAATTGGTGATAGTAGTATATTTCAACCATGAAACCTTATAACCATTTTTCATGCTTTGGAGATTACTATGTACTGATAATTACTGAGGTAAAACCTTAAGTTCCTGTCTCTAGACAAAGTTACCTGAGTTTCTACCTTTTTGTAACTAGAAAGACAATGTGTAGAGTAAATTTGGTTAGACTGAAAGATGATCTGATTATTTCTAACAAAAGATAACAATTTTAAAAAGCATGCAAGTGGGGGCTGGAGAGATGGCTCAGTGGTTAAGAACACTGGTTGTTCTTGCAGAAGACCCGGGTTTGAATCCCAGCACCCACATGGCAGCTAACAACTGTCCATAACTCCAGTCCCAGGGGATCCGACAGCCTCTTTTGACCTCTACTGGCACTGCATGACACGGGTGCACTTATCTACATGCAGGTAATACATACAGACACATAAAATTAAAAAAAAATAAATAAATTCAAAAAAGCATGCAAGAATCACAACGCCTTATCCTTTTCCCCTACCTGAGACTATGCCAAGATAGACAGCTACTGGGCACTGGCAAACAGGTGAAGCAAAGCATATTGTAGTGCCTAGAAGCTGTCTCTCAGACCAAGTCTCTGCCACTCCTGGTCTGTAGTCTGAAGCAGCATGGAAACACTTTTCCAGATCAGAGTCACATGGCATCTAAGCTAGAGGCTGGGACTGCTTGCAAATGTGTGCTTCCATGTCCCATTCCTAAGAAAACTCAAAGGAGAGACCCCTGTGACCACCTCCTGTGGAAGGAGATATGTGCCAGGGAAAAGAGTATGTGTTAATATGTCATCATCACATCTCAGAAGAATTAGAGAATATTGTTTCCTCAGTGGAAAACATGTAACTTGTTAAAACAGAGAATCCAGCGTGGTCTTGGAAAAATACCTCTCAGGGCTAGAGAGGTGGAGAGATGGCTCATCAGTTAAGAGTACAAGCAGTTCTTGCAGAGGGCCTGGATTCAGTTCCCAGCACCCACATGGTAGCTAACAATTGTCCATAAGTCCATAACTCTAGTTCCAGGGGATACCCTCCAATACCCTCTTCTGGACTCCACAGGTATTACATACATGGGTGGACTTACATACATACAGGCAAAACATTCATATACATAAAATAAAGATATATATATGTATATATAATATATATATAAAGGAAAAAAGTGTATCTCAATCACCACCCTGTCTAGAAATGGAGGATTCATATAGCAAGAGATCACATGTAGCAGCTTGCCAATATTTTCTGTTATATTCACCCTGATTTTTCCATTGGTATGCTCGCACAGCAGTAAAAACAACACTGTCTTCAGTGGTTACAGACAGATGTTACCTTGTGAGGAAGTCCTGCATGACTGTCCCATAGCATCGAGGTGGCTGTGCTGAGGTCCAGGTGAGGGCACTATGCTGTTCTGATAACAGTCAATGGTACTTTCACATTTCTGTGATGAATTAACAGTTCACTCATTTCTCCTTTCTTATTTCATAAATCTTCAACTGGCTTATGGGAATAAATTTTCTTGAAGCATCATATGTTACTCAATATTTACATATTTCTATTTAAATTTTTTTAAATTTTATGTATATGAGTGTATTGCCTGCATGTACGTAAATGCGCTCATGTTGTACAATGCTCGCAGAAGTCAGAAGAGGGCATCAGATCTCCTGGAACTAAGTCACAGACCACCATTAGCTGTCACGTGGGTGCTGGAAACCCAGGTCCTCCTGCAAGAGCAGCCAGTGCTTTTAACCACTGTGCCATGTCTCTATTCCCCATATTTTTATTTCTGCTATATCAGTTAAAAATATTTTTTAAAAAACTAAAGAGGTAAAAATTAACTCTGTTTCATTGCTATTCAAAATGAGTCTTCTTTTTATGATTCCTAAGTGATTATGCATATCAAAGATTTCCAACTCTGTATCCTACCTAATAAATCCACTTTTCTTTTCTTTTTGTCATTAATTCCAATTGTTCCTGAAATTCAGCAATGATTGTTTCTTCTTTCACAGGAGGAATATCCTGCTACCTACTGGATCCCAGTATAACATACATATATATTCCCCCATGCATCTGATAACATCAGTGGAAGTGTCTTTACAAGATAATAGCCTTTTAAATCTCACCCATGAATTCTGTGCTTTCTTATATACTTTTAAACACATTCCTAATTCAGAAAATAGTAAAAACCTAGTTGACCTTCAAAGTAAAGTGAAACTGCCTAGATAATGTTGCTTTGCAACTACACAGTATAAAACCATACATCCAAATATAATAACATGCAGCTAATTAATCTTTTAGTTTGGTCGATATTGATTTACTTTTATAAATAATTTAGTAACATTTCCCATAGCATTGACTTCTATTGTTTGATAATAGATAATCAGTACTGATCCTTTTTCTTTTTTAAAATCTATGTCCTTTGTTAAGCATAGTGGTACCTGCTTATAATCTCAGAATTTGGTATGCTGAACAAGGAAGATTGTCACAAATTTGAGGCCAGATACATAATGAGTTGAAGGGCCACTTTGTGAGATTGTCATAAAATCTATGTCTCAGATATATACATATATATGCCCTTCATGCTTCACTAATTGAATTAATGGGTCTACTTTTAAAAGAAATAAAAGTCCATGATGCATTAACTCAACGATAACTTCATTAATGCATTAAAAAAAAACCTGCATGTAAGGGACTGGAGAGATGGCTCAGAGGCTAAGAGTACTTGCTGCTCTTGGGTCAATTCCCAGCACCCACATGGCAGCTAACAACCCTCTGTAACTCCAGGTCCAGGAGTTCTGGCAGCCTCATCTGAGCTCCATGGGCATTGCACAACATGGATGGACTCATGTACATGTAGACAATACACTCATATATATAAAAAATAATAAGTGAAATATTTTAAAATCATATATAAGGCTGGAGTTTCTTACTCACTTCCCCATGTCTACATTGGGATTTTGTTATGAAAATTGCAAAAAAATCAATCTAAAAATCATATATAATCAGTAACATGGAAGAATAGAGGTAATGAATGAGATAATTGGGTCACTAAATGACTCTCTCTCATTTAGCAGGGAGAATATGTCAGCACTCCCAACTGTAGGTAAAGAGGTTCAAATGGAAGTAAGTGGGTAGAATTTTGAGGCAAAATGGGGTAATGGAGTATGCCTCCAATCTTAGCATTCAGAAAGTTGAGGCAGAATTGCTATAAGTAATCTAAAACAGAATAGTGGGGAAGAAACAGAAATAGGAGTGCTTTTATTTATTAAGGCAGATCAATTGAGTATGGCACAGTTAAATATGAGGACGTAGGGAGAAAATATCTATACTGAAATACAAATCTGGGAATCAACTGTGTAAGGATTTTATGTTAAACAGTGATTAAGTCATAAAGGAATTGACATTCTCAAAAAACAAAGCGAAGAAAAGAACACAAAATCAGGAACTTCTAAAAGAAGAGGAAAGATAGAGCTGTGGAAGTCAACTCATCTCAAGGAGGACTCACCAAAACCTCGGGGCCCAGATCACATGTTAGTTGAAAAAACCGCCTCACTGAGGTTTTATTCTTTCAGTTCAGAGCAGCTGACTGAAATACCCCAATCTCTGCAAAAGCAAATTACACTATTTGTCTAACACACTGTCAAGGCCATTAAATAGAGTTAAGTTTATAAATAGTAAATTTCATAATTTGTGTTAATATTCTACAATCACATTTGAAGATGACCCAAGGTTATGCAAAATATTCAGATCACTCATTCTGTACAAATACGACTTAAGCTATCTTATTGAAGCTTATTTTCATATCATGAATACAACCAAGTCATTTATTCAGTCATCATCCATTGAGAAAGGCATCCTAATTTGGACCTCTTGTCCCTTGGTAAGCAGAAAGACTGACTTAATCATAAAAAATTCCCCAGAATTTTCTTCAGTGCTGCTTTCCCTTCCTTGTTCCTCAAAGTATAAATCAGAGGGTTCAGCATAGGTGTTACCACAGTATAGAAGAGGGAAACAAACTTTCCCTGGTCCTTATATCGACTCTTGGCTGGCTGCAGGTACATGAAGATGATGGTCCCATAGAAGATGATGACCACCATGAGGTGAGAGGAACAAGTCCCAAAGGCTTTTTGTCTTCCCACAGCTGACTTGATCCTAAGAACTGCCTGGGTAATGTAGCCATAAGAGCCTAGAATGAGTGAGACAGGCAGCACCAAGAATAAGACACTGGCCACAAAGAGTTCAGCCTGGTTGAAGGTGGTGTCCACACAAGCCAGCTTGAGGAGCACAGGGACCTCGCAAAAGAAATGATCCACATGGCGATATCCACAGAAGGGCAGCTGCAGAGTGAGAGTGGACTGGACGAGAGTGGTGGCCATCCCACTGAGCCATGCCACAGATGCCAAGATACTACAAAGTTGAGGATGCATGACAATGGCATAATGGAGAGGATGACAGACAGCAACATAGTGACCATAGGACATCATTGCCAGCAGAACACACTCTGTGGATCCCAAGGCCAAGGAGGCATAGAGCTGAACCACACAACCACCATAAATGATGGACTTATTTGACCCCCCCAAGTTGACAAGAAGCTGAGGGATTAAGCAGAGGTCCAGGAAGGAAAGGTGGGAGAGAAAGAAGTGCATGGGGTGTGAAGCTTAGAGTCTATAAATGACACTACAATGATGGTAGTGTTGCTAAGAATGGTCATGAAGTACAGGAACAAGATGACCCCAAACAGAACCAGCTCTAGCTGAGGATGGTCTGAAAACCCAACCAGAATGAACCCAGGATGGCTGTTACCGGTCCTCCACATTGCCTTTGCTTCAAGTATTCCCTCCTGAGGTAAGTAGTTACATCAAATGGAATTGACAAGAGTTTTATGTCAAACCCTTGGAAGTGATGATGTAGGTTTTGGGAAATACAACTTGGAATATGTAAAGATAAAAGGTTACGATAGAGAACACCATTGAGTGCCATTCTTGATCACTTCACGCTGGGTCTGATAGCCATAGCTTTTCCCTATACCTTGAGGATAAATTAAAAGCCAGAATCAACCAAGGATAAGGTTTCTCCAAATTTTATCAACATTATTTTCACTATTCAAATGTTGGAATTAAATGAGATCTATGAACAGTGTACAAAATAAAGTGCATTCCCAGAATCTAATAAATGGATAGTAAATTAGTAGATATATGATGAAACACATCACAGAGCCCATGACACTGTGTGCACACTCAGTCAATACACAGGAGAATGAGTATCTATAGAGAGAAAGTTTGAGAGTCCTGGGAAATGGTTCTGTCTTGCTTTGAGGGATGAGAAGGGGTTCAGGCCTGAAGAACTGCTTAAGTACAAAAATGAAGACTTATGCTACTGAGCATCTGAGGAAAAAACAAGAAACTAAGTTTGGTAAGCAATTATTGGATATCATGGTTATGCCATACAACATAACAAAGTACTCACAGGTAAATTTGAGTCAACTGTTCTCAAGGATTGTAAGTATCAATAGACATTATTTGGATAGAGGGGTTACAGTTTGGCTTGAATATTCATTCTCAAGTATGTTGTAAAGCAGAACTCAAAACAAAAACAACCTAGTTTGGAATCTATGTATGGAGCTGATACGACAGTAAACAATTGCACAGTCATACATTTGAGAAAGTATAATGCATACATAAAGCAAGAAAGACTGAAGGAGATGAATCAAAGGAACTCTGTTAAGATTTTACTACTAGTGGAGCCTGGGGCCAATTAATGGGAAGAAATCAAAGCAAGTGAAGTTTCACACTGTCTGAAATAAAGAGAGTGAGGGAGGAAAAAAGGTATCCAATGCCCTTGTCCTGCCTCCATGGGCACCCCCACACATGGCATATACTTACATAGACACACAGACACATACACATGGCACACGCATGTAGTCCCAGCACTTGGGAGGCAGAGGCAGGCGGATCTCTGTGAGTTCAAAGCCAGCCTGGTCTCCATAGCAAATCCAGGCCAGCTGCGGCTACAGGGAGACCCTGTCTCAAAAGAGACCCCCCAAAAGTATATATTTATGTTCACACATAAGTGAAAATTAAAAAGTTTTCCATGTTACTTTTCATACTCTATGTAGATATATAGAGATATATTAGATTTTCACATACTGCTCCACTCAGCTATAACACATTGAAAACTATAGTTTCAAGATTCTTAATAGCACTTTGAAGTATTTTATGAACATAGCGAATGGAAAAATATTATTTAACTACATTTTGTTGGCCATATTTCAACTAATAATTTACCAGTATTTACCACTTGCATGCCATGTCCAGGCTTCTACTAGATAGGTATTAGTTACATGAAATAAAAGGATGCTACTTCTCCTGAGAACCTGTTAGCTACCTGTTCATGCTGCACTCATCCTAAGCAAGCACAGGACTATGGTATGTGCTGCCACTCAAGGACTCAAGGGGAGGTTGAATGGCAAGGAAGAGATATTCTCTCAGGTGATCACCAACTCCCCTTGTTCACATTGGGGAATGACTTGAAAATGAGCATCTCCTTATGTCAGTGAGGATGCTGACATCAGCTATTGAGATATACTGCCATGAGCAAGCAAAACCCTATTTTCTATAACTATGTGTGTATCCAAACACTGAGTCATTCAGAGAGCTGAGACCATCTAGTGACCACCAAAAGATACTTGATGGAGTCACCAGATGGCCTGCTAGGCTCTGAGGACACTATCACATAACACCTTCTTAATTGTCTTCATGGTGTGTCTGGTACAATGCTCATTCCTATCTTCACAGATGAGGAAACAGAATAGAGAAGTAACATTCACAAGGAGACTTCAATGGAAGAGCCAGGGTTCAAGTCCAGATACCTACACTTCAATATTCCTTAAACTGTGCAGACCTCCTAGGTTCAGGCTGAAATGGAAGAAATGGACATACTAGTACAACTAGACATCATGGTACCCATTCAAATCATCTCTCTATACATCATTCATTGGTTCAGCTTTCCCCTAAACTATTTATCTTGATGAGAACTGAGAACTGTTCTGTTTTGAGTGATAGTAGTATTTAGTTTCCCAGACTTGCCAGTCCATTGGTAAGGCTTCAGTATGTAAAACAGTAGATGTTCACAATACCTCACTACATACAAGAAGCAGTATTCTCTGAGTGCTATTCCAGGTCCTATTTCAGGTAGATGAATATGATCTGCAGAATAGAGAGGAGCAGAGGTCCAATAGGAAAATACAGACATGGTCAATGGCAGGTAGGTTCTGATAAATATTAGTGACTAACAGTGATGCTGAGAAAGTGGATGCAGACTAAAAATATGACTGTGAAAAAATTAGCAGCTGAAACACATCTGTAAAGCTCCTGGACCTAGAGCTCAGTTGAGATGCTTAGCACAAATGAAGCAAATGGCCAGAGCTGGTTGCACTGTAATATTTCCTAGCTCAGAGGCAGAACAGAGGACTCAATGGGAGAGATGAAGCAGCAGAGTGAGAGAACACTGCCTTCTAAAAGGAAAGGCCCATGTGCCCCATCTAAGAACACTGACTGTCACTAAGTGCATTGGAGCTTTCTGGTTAAACATTATAAAACACTTCAATGTTACTTATGGGAGGAGAAAAAAAAAACCAACCTTCAGGAATCAGGTAGTACACAGAGTGTCAGTGGAAATGTTTCTCTAAGCTTTGGGGTATAGGACCAACTTCTGACCCTTGCTACTTACCCTGATCTTGCAGGAGACAGCCTCAGTACCTTTTTCTTGTGTTAAATGATTCTCCTTTACTCAGAAATGGAATGAAATGCAGAGAAATAATCAAACTGTGAAAAGGCTGGGTTACAAGCTGTTCATTTTATTGTGATGCAAACTTAAGCACTGTCAGAGGATGATCCTCTTTCCACCCTATAATCTTAACTTCTGTGCATCAGTATTAAGGAGGCACTTTAAATACGCAGCATATTGGGCCTACAAAATGAAGGGGAGTACCCTAATTTCCCATAGTTCACCAAAGCACCAGTATTTTGGGTAGCATCTCAGTAGCCAAAGTCTAACAGTCCACTACTATTTCTTTTTCAGAAGTTTATCACCATCACCTTTGCTCTGCTCTGTGGTGACTCTGAGCCAACATAACCTGCGACCAACCTGGTGTACATCCTTCAGAGTTCTACCTCTGTATCCTTCTGTTTCTGGATCTGGAAAAAGGGATGCAAAGATTAAAACACCTCATAGAATGCTCTAAAGAAATACTAAAACCTTTTCTAATTTTTATTTTCTTAATTTAAATTTATTTTTAACATAAAAATTATACATTCTATAGGAAACTATGTTATGTGTTGATGTCATGTGAATACATTGTTAAATGAGGTTAAACGTATCTCATTAAACATTTTATTCATGATAAAATTTAAACTCTTCCATAGGTTTTAAATGTAGACTTCACTATAGTTATCTATATTCACCCTCCTGCATCTGACCACATCAGAACCTCTTGCTTCACTTTACATCAATTTTGTAAAATTGGATCAACCTTCCCCCTTCCTCCTCCCAGTCTCCTCATATCCAGTAATCAACATTCTACATTGTAAAATTGTCTTGTCAACAAACTATGCATTCAAATAAAATTTATTCAGCATTTAAAAATATCTCAGATGACTCTCAATAAGAAAGTTATTTTTATGACTAGATAGCAACTGAATCAGGTGCCTAGGCTCATCTAACTTTTAAATTCCTTATGTCAATATGTTAGCTCAACTAAAAGAATTATAGAAAATTCATTTTAGATTTATCCTTCCAGATAATGAAATACCATGTAAAATTTGAAGAAATATTGGCAATTTGAATACCATGTTGAGAGCAAGTGGTATTTGAGGTGGCACATTCCCAGTAGATAGAGGAGCTTTTCCTCTCTCTGTGTCCCAGCCTAGTCTAATCTGGTTAAGAAGCTGTGGATTTAATTGAGCTAGATGCTCACATGCTCTAGAGAGTCAGAAGGTGGTCCCTAGGGATGTCATGTCCCATAGGAAATACCTGTTAAACAGAAAATGGCCAAAGAGAACAGCACATTGTCATTCCTAAAGTCATTATTTTCACCCTGCAAATCACTCCTTTAGCATAGAAAATTTCCATAGTCACTCCAGAAACACTCAAGAATATATTTCATTGAACACATTTCTAATTTCCTATCTACCCACCCACTGGGCCAGTCAGCCATCTCCCCAACTTGCTGTGTCAATCCTCATCAAAATCTGGTTCCTCCATAGATTTTTCTCAGTCTGTCTTGTGTTCTTACTTCATTACTTGGAAATTTTGTCCAGACTGTCAATCTGAAATGATTTTCTCTAGCTATACCTTCTGTTTTACTATCTAGTACATAAAAACAATTTTTAACTTTTTTTTAGCTTTTGTAATTTCATAAATGGTTCTTAATCAACCAAATTTAGACCCCATCCCCATCCATGCCTCCCTCATTCCCCCATTGCACCTCATGTATTCTGCCATACATGTTAAGTTCTAAAAACAAATTTTAATTACAGTTATTTTTAAATTTTGGCTTGTGATCCTTGACTCTTAACTTTGTAGAAATAGTTGAAAATTATATCTTTAGTATTTAGCTGAGCATTTATCACAAGGAAGAATGTGATAAATATTGTTCAATGAGAAACTTATTTTAGTCCATTCATCTGTAGTGACGCTAGTACTATCAAGCCTTTTTTTGCCCTGAAATATTTTCATATAAATTCTATATAGAGATTTTTACATAAATATATAAATACTTTATATATACTTGTATATATAACAATAACTTGAGCAGGG